TGTTCAAAAAAAAAAAATTTTTTTTAAAATATTTTGTACTTTTTTTTTAAAAAAAAAAAAAAAAAAAAAAAAAGCAACATTTTATCACCAGTATGGCAATCATGAACTATTTACAGAGAACTATGTCATTTAAAAATTCTCTCTGGAATGATTTTCAAATTTCTTAGAGTTGAGATGGTTAATAGTTTGTCATTGTAGATCATATTTAGACCTGAAGTGTACTCTTTTCTGCTTCTTTTGTAACTTTCATCACTTTATAAACAACATACTTTCAGGGTCAGACGAAATGGCAAGAAAGACAATGAATAAAAAGCTGCAAATTTCCAAATAAAAAATTTGACCTTGTACTATTATAGCCTGGCTGTTACTTTCATTCTGCTCCTTTTTTTTTTTTTTTTTTAATCTCGTGCTTCATCTGGGCTTTTTCCCATTGTGATGGATTTATCTGGTAGAATTTCAACTGGGCCAATTAGCGAACAGACGGAGTCGTGAACAATTCACAATGGGTTTTCTGCACTGATTTAGAATTGTAGTTTATCTATACAAGGTTGTAGTTTGGCAATAGCACAGGAGGAAGTGAACGAAGCCATTCAGTCTATGTTCGCTAAGCTTCCAAATATTGAGTAACTAAAGTCAGAGCAAGATGAATGAGACATTTTATTGCTGTAGCCCCACTCTCCACGGGTTTTTTTTAAAGCGCACGCGATTTCTGGTAAGCGTCATCGCGCTGGTACTTTACACACATCATGGCAATAATATCTCATCAAGCGAGAGTCCAGACATCCATACGAAGCAAAGCGTAGAACAAGGCATTGGTTTGTACCAGGCTAGCAAGATCATAAAAATATATATTTTTTCTTTTCTATCTTAAATACACTTTGAGGTATTCCGTTTTGAAAAGTACATTGGCTTAAAACTTTAAACCCTTCTGTTACCAGCTTCTCAGTGTCCATAGAGAGAAAATTCCTGCCACGTGTTATCCAGAGACATTAAGTCCTATTCTTCTTTCACAGGCCGATCCGAAGGAGCTGATTCGACTGGTCACGCAGCATGTCTCCTCATATTCGGCCTGGCCAGAGGAGCTGCAGAAGCTAATCAGCCAGCTGTACGTGTACAATGAGCGCCTGACAGACTTCACTCAGGCTCAGGTGTTGCAGGGCCTGGGCCGGGGAGTGGACGTGCAGCGCTTCAGCTCTGACTTGGAGTACAAGAAAAACACTATTCTCGGCCTCACAGAGTAAGTTTTTTTTTATTTTTTTTATTTTTTTTTATTTTAAGGAAGTTTTAGTTATTCTTGTTTTTGGAATGTGAAGCTTGCAGCTGGAAAAGTATTTTTAGCAGTTGTATTATGAATGGAGTTGTACTATGTCCAAAGATGTGTGCTTAACCCTTAGGGTACCTTTTCCTGTCCAAAATGGTACATCTTGCCTCGCAGCCTTTTTTGATTCACAAAATCTGTCATATTAAAGGTTAATTCTATGAAACTTGGTCAGGACTGTTTTTGTTTTCTTTTTGAAATTTATTTGAGCTTTTGATTGTAAGTTTTGTACAGGGGTCTGTAAGTTATGTACACTTACTTTTCCTTCTGTCCCATTTTGTTCCTATTTACTTCCATTATAACCACATATTTTCAATGGATTACAATCCTATTATTTTAAAAGTATGTTCCCATAAAGACCAAAATAATCTAAGTTTCTACCTTTAAAATACAAGGAGAACTGGTTTTAGATGTGATGAAGCCCCCCCCTCCCCGCACCCCTATAATTATCATAGACCCCATCACTTTACGTCTGGAGCTGTAGAAAAGAATTAAAGAAGAAAAAAGTGAAAAATACATTTAAATATTGATTTTTTTTTTTTTTATTTTTTTTTTGGACTTTTAAAAGTGTACTATTTGGGGTCACAAAGATAAGAAGTGTTGGTTTTTGGTTTCAATTCTTATTACTCGAAAAAAAAAAAAATTAAATAAATAAATAAAATAAAATAAAAAATACTGCATACAAATCGGTGTGATTAAGTTTTGACCTGGTCACCCTGAAACACCTACATCAAAAAAAGTAGCTTATTTTTGCAAAATACTGCATATTGTGTGTTTTTCTTCTTCAAAAAGAGTCTGTATTTTTTTCCAACTAAACAGGCATAAAATATAGAAAAGATTTAATGCAAAGACAGTGGAAAAAAACTAGAATTTCCATAATAGTTTTATAAAGTGTACCATTTTGCAGCATGAAGGTAAATAGAGCAAAGTTACATTAAAGGTGTCCTGAAGGTTAATCTAGTTTGAAACGTTTCTGCAACATTTATGTAATAGAAGTAATTAAAAGAAATTGACCTCTCTGCTTTAACAGTATAAAATCTGATTATTGCCATGTGTGTTCTCCTTTTCCATGTGTGTTCTCCTTTTCCATGTTTGTGCTAGGACACTGGATGACAGCGTGTACAGGATTGCTTTATCCCTGGCAAAGCGTTACTCCGTCCCTCTGTGGGAGGTCTACATGACCCACCTCGAGTTCCTCTTTACAGAAAGCAGGTGCATGCACACATACATAATCACATTAGCTCTTTGTGATTTTCTTACTTTTTTTTTCCTTCCTTTGGTGTTTTATTGTAGTAGATATGCACAAAATAATCATCCAGAGATTAGAATTGTCTAATTCACCTGCTCTGATGGTTGATTGGAAGGTCTAATACTAAAGAAATTGAAGACTTTTTTTTTTTAACCTTTGTTCATTACATTCGTCAAACTCAAGAATCGTTAACCCTTTTTAGTCTATAAATGCATCAGCCAACAACATGCACTTTGAGTTTTATAAAAAAAAATCTCTAAGGTTAGGAACAAACGATGCATAAGTGGGGATAATATTGCTTTCTATGCAATTCAGAACCAATAGCTTTATCAGAGAAGAACATTTTCTCACTAATGTATTATCCTAATAGATAAAATGATTAAAAATAATTGATTGAAATCAAAAATCACTGATAAGCGTATCATTAGTTTGTAGGTTTACAGCACTTCTCCACAACATTATCATAAAAAACAAAACAAAACAAAAAAAAAAACAAAAAAACTACCAGAATATTTTAGGACTACTTAAATAACATTGAACTTCCCGATACCCAATTTGTTTTTAAATTTAGAAACATGTGAACCCAAATGTGAACTTAACTCATTGTTAGAGACAATGGGAACATTAAAGAAAGCATTTTGATCCAAGTGTAAATGAAACATCTAGAGAATGAGTGAGTTTGGGTTTACGACAGGATGTGTGTCGGAAACTATTTACATAATTTATTTGCTCCCTCAATTCATATCTAGTTTATCGGGCTAGCAGTGCAGCTCTTCTTGTTTCTATAGAATGCCTTTTCAGCAGAGTTTGAGGGTTGCTCGTGTTTGGAGGCAAACGTGTGTGTGTGTGTGTGTGTGCGCATCTGTGATAAATTCCCACTTGTCACATTCTGATATAGGGAAATGCTTTATGGACTCCGCTTAACAATAAATTACAACATGCACCTTCCTAAACCCTTTTCACAGCCGCTTTATGTGTGTGTGTGTGTGTGTTTCCACCAAAACCTCAAGATCATGACAAATCTGTGAAGGATATTCATGCTATAATCTCGAGTAGAAGCATCTGCAGTATGCCTATTGATTTAACGGATGGATGGAGGAAGGAAACGGTATAAATAGTGCAGTTGGGAGAATTTAAAGGGGAAAGACGTATATAGACCGAAGCGGGAGTGCAAAATGGAGATTTGACTTATATTGATCCCTAATGGGAAATACATTTTTTTGCATTTCACTCATTTGCCTTGTTTAGGAGCTGCCACAGTTCACAGTTGATTGAATTGAAGTTGAATTTGCTGTCCAGAATTTTGGTCAACTCTGGCTCTTTCAGTAGAACAGCAAGCTTTTTCTTGCCAGACTTCAAATTGCTCTCAGTCTTCAACATAACAATTGCCTTGATCCTTGAAACTAAAATTGCTCTGACACATTCTTTTTTTTTTTTCTTTCTGGCACATTCCTGCAACCCCTCTTTTAGTGTGGTTCTAACTACATCAGACTGCTGTGTGGTATAAATTGTAGCAGCTTTATTGAACTTGTTGAAGAAAATTCATAAAACCTGTTGGGTGCTTTCCGAATGAATAAGTATGAAAACATGCATACTGGACTTAGTCCAGGGGTCTGCAACTTTGACAATCTAAAGAGCAATTTTAAATAAAATGTGTTTAGAAGTACAAATCTTAATTTTTGATGAGAGTAAATATGCTGTCATTTTTATAGAACTACAATTTTTTT